CGATGGCGCCGAAGGACACGGAATCGGCGCCGAATATAGAGCCGTCCGTTGAGGCATCGATGGTTGACCCGTTCGGCACTGAGTGGCCCGCTGTCGAAGAGTGGTCAGTACTCGCTATCGGTGTGGAAGATGACCAATTGAGCGATAAGTATCTCGAAGACGTGGTGCACCCGTTCCTGTGGAAGCTGGACAACAGCTGCGCCACCGAAAGGGACGCCGATGTGATACAACGTGTGATGTCTTCGGCCAATCCGCACGACGCGGCCCTTATTCAGCGTTGGATCGCCGAACGGCTGGAGAGAGCGATAGTCTACGACACCGACGGGAATGTAGTGCATAAGGAGGCGTTCGTCAGCGCACAAGACAGTGATGACGGCGGAGGTCAGGACCGGATGAGTGATAAGTGCGATGACGGCTGGGATGCGACCGCCGATGACGCGTTGTTGGCCTCGAGTCTGGACCCGGACTGGAACCCCGACGGCGATACCGGTGATGACAACAACAACGAGGTCCGAGTGGACAAACCGGTAGAGGTCAGCGCCTTCGCAGATGCCGTCGGGTGGCCCGATGTCGAAGAGTGGCCAACACTTACTACTGTCGCTGTCATTGCCGACGGTAACGATGAAACGGATGATCGCACGCAAGCGGAGGATAACACGGGCTCCGAATGGCCGGCAGTGAAGACCGAAGCGGTGCCTAAGAGAGAGGTTTGGCCTCAATTGGCGGCCACTGCGGGCGCGGACACCAAACGTAAGCCCGGCGTTGAGGTGTGGCTAACATTTGTGGACCGCAACGACTACGACAAGAAGCTGTTGCGTCGGCTGCGAAGGCTGTTGTTGCGAGTGAGCGACGGCTCCGCCACTGAACGGGATCTCGATTGGGCCGTACGTAACGGCAAACACTCGGCGATCAATACCAGCGAAACGTCGGCCAAACACTGGGAGACCATTATATGTCAATTATTGCTCGTTTTCAATGTCTTTTGTGACATTACTTTAAACTAATTTTATTACTAATTATATTAATAATTATATTAATAAGTTATTTGTTAATAATAATAACAATTATGTAATTTTAAATCAATGTAAATTTATAAATGATAATATATTACTAATTAAGAAAAATAAACTAACTTGTTTTATAATTAAATCAAAATTGCATTTTAAATAACTTAAAGTAAAACTTAATTTTATTTAATTACGTTATTTTATTACCACATTATTTGTGTATAATATAAAAGACAATTCATGCCCTTTAATAACAAGAGAGTTATATTGGATTCAAAGGGTATTTCTCTGTATAATAACGTACCGAACGATCGGTACAAATGAAATGCATTGCGAAATCAAAACACAGCAAAAAATCATATGATTTTCACAGCATTTGCATTGAAAACACATTTATTATTGACATTCAATACAACAACAAAACAACACGTGTTTTGGCCGTCAAATTGAAAAGACTTAATATTTTGTTTCATATCATATGAAACGCCGATATTATGGCCACAAAGAGAGAGAGAGAGAGAGAGAAAGATTGACAGGAGACTAGTTTACGGATTCATTGGAAAAAGAGAGACAGAAATGAAAACTTGTTTTACAATCAATTAGCTCTCTCTCTCTCTCTCTCTCTTTGTGGCCATAATATCGGCGTTTCATATGATATGAAACAAAATATTAAGTCTTTTCTATGGAAACAAAATAAAAACTTTTTCTTCAGAAGAGAAAAGATTTATTGCATAAGAAACACAACACAACAATAATTAGACGGATATTGAGAGGCGATTATATAAATTGTTGTTGATTTCAAACGTGGTATTTCGGACCATATAATATATGTAACACACAATATATTATTTAGCGAACATTAAATTATAATGAATACCAAGAAGAAAAAAATTGTGTCAAATATTTAACTCATGGTATTTTCTTTTGGGAAATGAAATAAAAACTTTTTTGTTTATTATATATATATTTTCTTTTTCATTGTTTGATTTCCAACACAAGAATCTCTTCTATTATTTATTGCTTTTGGCGATCATTTTGAACGGCATTTCAGTTTAAAGAGTAGTTTATTTGTATTTAAACTTTTTTATTGTTTGTTATCTCGTATTCATTTGCGATGAGATCCTTATGAATGCCATAAACTATTCATTTGAATGTTTAAAAACTCATTAAACAAATTTTTACTGATGGTCTTTAAGACCTTTATGGGTATGTGTTTAACAAATAAAGTGCCCTTTATTTGCATTATTTGCATATAAAGAAGAGAGAGAGAGAGAGAGAGAGAGAGAGAGAGAGAGAGAGAGATCTTAACCTTAAAAACAAAATTGTTAACCAATTCCTGAGGTGCGAGACATGTCAGCGAAGCAATGGATTTATGATTAGTTTTTAATATATCTATTTTGTTATACATTTAACAATCATATAAAGTACTGTATTTTCATATTTACTATTTTAAAAACCATTTGAAATGAATGTAACAATAAATAAAGAGATCATCTTATTATAAGGGGATACGAGTTATACATACCTTACATATAATTATTATCATAATTAATGTCAAATCATATTTAGCCCAAAGAATGCAATAATTTAATAATAATATCATATTATTATCAAACTTATCATTACTTCCCTAAAAGAGCTCTTTTATTGTATATTTCTTTTATTTATTATTATTTTTCAAGTTTGAGGTCAAAAAGCAATGAAAACTTTTTTGTCCATAGATTTGTATCACAAAAAAATTAATGTAATAATTGGTTCACTTGTCTCTCATATAAGAGAGAGAGAGAGAGAGAGAGAGAGAGAGAGAGAGAGATAGAGAGAGAGAGATGCGATGAGAAGATTTAACAAGTATTTCATTTTCGGTTAGTTTTTTGTAAATTATTTTATTGTTTTATAACTGTATATAAATTGTGTATTAAATCCAATGGAAAAATAGTTTGAATTCATTGTTTCGGTTCAATAACTACCGGAATATTTAGTTTCTTGAATTAATTTCGCAAAACTACTGTTATATTTGATTAATGATTGGTTTGTGTTTTAAAAATACTGTATATTTAATAAATTTATACAAATCTAATTATATAACAGAATATTTATAAATACCGTACGAATCCTAATTAATAATACCATATAAAGCATATTAATAATAATAATGGCATTAATAATAAACTACTCCCCGATATAGTGAACAAAAATTATATAACAATAAAATATACATAAATAAGTCGTTTAATAAGGCGTTGGAGAGAAACAAAAACTTTATGACCGAAACTAAAAGTTTCATTTTGTGTGTCAAACAGTTTTGTTATTTTTTGTCTTAAAAATTAATTATATAACTGTTTTGTTCGTATGATTTAATTAATGAAAATTAGTTAATAATAGTAACTTTCGGTACAAAATAGTAATTAGAAAACAATTAAAAATTAAAATGTTTTGTTTTTTGAATAATGAATTAACTGTTTATAAGTTTATATCGTTTATAGTATAAACTTTATACTGTATTTCGCCATACGTTTGGTCGCCCTCTCCCTCCCCACCCCTACCTGTGCTCTGATTTCAATGAATTAATTAATGGTTATAACAGTTAATATATTATAAATATTTGCTTTTGAATAAATAATGGTGTGTTTTCATTGAGTGAAATTAATTATTATAATAATATTATAACTATAAATAGGATCACAATTATATGAGACCCACAACGGGGGGCGAGAAATGAAATTCATTACGAGTTCAATATATAATTGAATATATTTTTGTTTGCGGCGAAAAACGTGAAAATTGTTGTGATAAACAACTAATTCATTATATCCTTTGCCATAGAATATAATAATTAACACCGAAATCGGGGTAAAAAAGTTATCGACAAAAAATATAACACATTTAGATATTTTCCTATCGAGACGTTTCGCTTGAATCGCTTGTTTTAAACACAGTTTTTAATCTAATAATTCAATTACATTAACAATTCGTGATCGCAATTATATGCCAACAATATATCTATAACCGAGAGTAGGTATGTATTATTACCATAGGATAGTATGTAATAACTCTTCGAGCAATTCATATCTGTATAATTGTATGGTTTTGTTAATCCAATCAATCACTCAATTGTGAAGTAATATTAGTTTTCTATACGAAGAAAAATAGTGAGAAAAATAAGCAAAATATATAATTAATTGCATTATTCGCACAAAAATCAGATGAAAAACTCATTTTTTATAATTTTATGTGAATTAACAACAAATTTCACATATATTTTCGCAAATACTCTGCAAAATAACTAAATCAAAGTCAAAATATTGTTGTTTTTTGATTAATGTAATGGTTTTGTACCCTAAAAGCCAATTAAATATTTAAATTATTAAAGCGTTTATCGATTGAAATAGATTTTTGGGTAGAATTTAAACTAAATTATAATTTCCAAAAATAGTTTAATTTTTTGGTTTAATATCTCAATTAAAATCAAATGAGAAAAACAGTTAAAAGTGAAGCAATTATTTAAATATCAATATAATTGTCTATAATATGAGAAACTATTTTAATTGATTGCCAATAATTGGCGTATATTTAGGCACAAAAAATTACACCCGAAGTGAGTCCTAGAGATTCAATACAATTATAAACAAAATTATACAACAATTTATATTAAATGCAAAATTTATTAATCGTATCAAAAATTAGATTAAACACTATATGAATGAAAAACAAATGATTTAATGAAATAACACAACAATTAATGCCATTAAATATTATACTTAAGTCTCAACTTATTATAAGTGTGTTTGAAAAAGAAGAGCAAATTGTCATATCTGTGGTCATTGTGTCCTCCATTACCATCTCTTTCATCCAAAATGTGTTGCAAATCACTGAAGAAGTAATAAATGGCTTCAATTGTGGACAAATAGGTTCGGGGAGAGTCCCGCTGATGGCGCCAAAACAGGGACTCGTGTTCAGACAATATCACCGTCCGGTTGGCCAACAATGGGCTGATCCGCGGGTCGCGCAGTATATGATTGGTCTGACGCCACGTGCTGTCGATGAACACAACCCGATTGAACGGCAGCTGTTTGTCCGCTCTTTCAACTGATCCGTTATCCACGGCTGAGTCCGGATGAGGTCCGACATCGTGTCTGTAGTCATCGATCAGATGCTGAAGTGTGCGGGCGTTGGGCGCCGGGAATACCAGTACCGCCTATACGCGCAAAATCAAACACACATTAATAATAATCATCATTGAATCAATCAATCAATTGAAACAGCATTTGATTATTGGTCTAACATTTTGGTCGCTATAGTCAGGAATGTCGGGAAACGTGCGGACAGAGCACCGGTCGGGCGCCACAATCACGGCGTGCGGTGCCGTCGACTTGCCATCGACTTCCTGGACGTGTTTAATGATATCGACGTCGACGGGCAGCGCCACCCGCGGCACCCGACCCGCCAACCCGTCCATCAGCTCATAGCACGTGTAACAGTAGTATTTGCGCGACCGATGACAGCGCCGACAACTGGTCCGACCGGTGATCGCGTCCAAGAAGTCCGTGGAGTCGATGCCCGGGAATCGCGCGGCCATTGGATCCGCTTCGCCGCTATTCACCCAAAGACTGCTGTTTCGGATGAGCGGTTCTGTGCGAACCATCACGTGCTGGTGCTGCAGATGACGGTTCCGGTGCCGACGATAGTTACCACAGTTGTTGACACTCGTGGTTGGCATCTGTTTGCCGGTGATGTCCATCCAATTTGACGGCCAAAACACGTGTTGTTATTGTTTTGAATGTCAATAATAAATGTGTTTTCAATGCAAATGCTGTGAAAAACATATAAAACATATAAAATATGATTTTT